AAATATGAAGTATATGATTAGCACAGCAAGCAATCCTATGCTCTAATAAATAAGCACACGTAGCAGCTTTTATATCTGTGGCAACACAGCTCAGTAAGAATTCGTTTACCAAAATGTATGCTGTCTCAAGACATTTTCCAAAATGAAAATGAAGTGAGTATCTAATAAGAGCATGCACACAAGAAAAGTAAATAGCTAAACAGGATCACTCCATGAACCTTTCCTGATGCTTGAAAAGTAAGCAGCAGGTTTGCAATGTTTGTCATAAAATGAATTTGTTATTAAATTGCTTTGCAATTATATACATTGAGAAAGTAGTATCAATTTTAAACTCTTGATATGTAAAATTTGGGATTGAGCAAGACATGGCAAAAGAAGATATCTCTTTAGAAAGGACAACCTTTCATAAATCCCAAACAGCCTCAGTGTCAATAAAAGTCCTGAAATAATATTTTTCAATAATTTTTCTTCTATTCCTTTTTACAAGACACAATGTGATTTGAGAAGTGCTCTTATGGATTGCTAGCATTACTGTTTTCTCCAACCAATCAGATTCAGTTTTTTACTCTCAAACACATGGTCAATGTTATTCACACTGGCAAAAATTATGGAATGCAATAAACAAAGGCTGGATAAATTATTTTTTAACCAGAAAGGTTTGATGGTATCATATTTATGCTAAGGACATAACAAATGCTGGATCTCTACCTGTTCCATGTGATGGAGTGCAGAACGAAGTAGCTACATAGCAATGAACTATATGTCAACTCTAAAAATGAGCACAGTTGCAGCCATTTTTCCTACTGATTTTCGATTGACACATAGAATGGAGGAAGGGGGTTTTGCCAGGTGCTTTGTTAGTCTAAATAAACTTTTATCTATGCAAATAAAACTCTATGCAGTCACAACTTGGTTAGTCTTTCCCTTCCTCTTAACCCATTCACTCTTACTTCATGTGTTGTGCAATATCATCCTTTTTCCTTCTCTTACCCACACTTAACAGATTTCATACAGATATTTACTTTTGTATTCAATCTACATTAATTTTACCCTATTCTTGCTTTATTATGCATATTTCTAAATGCACTATTCTGATACACTGAACTTACTTTTAAATTTCTCTTGATAAGCCAAATTCTCATTTTCATAGTACAAAGTGAGCAGGGGCATGCTTTATAAACAGCCTTCTTAAACATTCATTCCTTACAACATATACTATGCTTTCTAGTATCATTTGCATATCTTATTTTTTTTTTATTCCACCTTCAATAAATATTCTACCAAAGTACAAATTCACCATTTACTGGTGTCTATTCCAATTGTTCACTCAGTTTCCCCATAAAAAACATTTATTTCCTTGTCCTTCAATACATTAATTTTCACAACCTCTTCATGTACTTCTCTTTGCATGACACATTCTTGGCAAATCATTTGATATCAGCAACTTACTTTCATATGCCAACCAATAGATTTCTTACATTATCACCAGTATTCCTTATATATTTATAGTGCATGAATACATTAAAATAACCAAGAGTGCATAACAATTCCTTATTTCATTCCCTGCTTGGCGTTCAACTATTCATTAAGAAGTCGATTAATTCTCACCATATTACACTCTTATCGCATTCTGCAACCAACTTTCAACTCAATACTTATGTAAAACATTCCATAATTCAAGCCCACTCATGCTGTCATACATTTTCTCTGAATCAACAAATGTACAATAAACGTTCCCCTTCAGATTCATAAATTCTTAAGTTACTTCATAAAGCACAAAAATGATATCTGTATGCCTGCTGTCTGGCATAAAACCACATTGTAGTTCCTAAATTTTACTCAATGTCATTTTGTATACCCTTTCTATCTGAATACACTTTCCCAGATCCAGACAACAAATTAATCTCCCTTCAGTTTTTATATTCCTCTTTTCCTTTTCATGGCGGAACAATACTGGCATTCTTTCAATCAGCAAACAGATTTAGTTTTCATACAGATATTGAAGGATTTATGTAGCCTCTCCAGTAACAAACCACATCCCTGTTTTAACATT